AAGCCGTGAGGTGTATTGCATTGGACAGGTAGGTGACTCGCCGGCCGGAAACCCTGGCTCCGGGTCTCTCCGGTCCACCCGCCTGTGCCTCCCTGGGCTTCGGGAGTCGACTGTTGTGTGTGTGTGTGTGTGTTCCTTTTTTTTATATATGTTTTTATTTTGTTTATTTTTATGTATATTTTTTTTGGGGGGAGGGGGGTTGAAAGATTTTTTTCTTGGGGGGAGTTGGGGGGAGGGGAGATAGGGGGGGATAGGGGAGATAGGGGGGGAAGGGAGGGAGGGAGGGAGGGGTAGAAGTATTCATCGTGGAACCATAAAAATGGAAACCCAAATTTTCGTCGAAGTTTATAAAGCATTTTTGACTAACGAGGAAATGTCACTTGGATTTTATGGGGCAATTAATTAGGCAGCAGAAACCATTTCAAGGTTTACTGTCTTCATCCTCAGGGTCCTCTTCCTTCTTCTCCTTCTTCTCTTCCTTCTCTCTCTCTCTCTTTCATTCTCTCTCTTTCTCTCTTTCATTCTCTCTCTCGCTCTCGCTTTCGTTCTCTCTCTCGCTCTCTCTTTCCTTCTCTCTTTCCTTCTCTCTCTCTTTCTCTCTCTCTCTCTCTCTCTCTCTCTCTCTCTCTCTCTCTCTCTCTCTCTCTCTCTCTCTCTCTCTCTCTCTCTCTCTCTCTCTCTCTCTCGCTCTCAATATGTCAAAAGGGTTATCTTTTCCCCTCCTTTCTCTCGTGGTTTTCCCCATTCACTCTTTTATCTCTCTTTAGGTATTTATTCCTCCCTCCCTCTCTCCGTCTCTCCTCCCCTTCTACGTATTGTATTTTATCGCTCCACTTCCCAGCTTTCTCTTCTGGCTTTATTCCTTCCGTCCTTTTCCTTTTTATTTGTCTGTTCATTTTTGTCTTTTTATGTCTATTCTCCTATTTCATTCCTCTCTTTTCTCTCTCGGTATTCCTTCTCTTTTTCTATGTCTCTCTCTCTCTCTCTCTCTCTCTCTCTCTCTCTCTCTCTCTCTCTCTCTCTCTCTCTCTCTCTCTCTCTCTCTCTCTCTCTCTCTCTCTCTCTCTTGTTCTCTTCCTTTTTCTTTCTCTCCTTTTCTATCTCTGTGCCCCTCACTCCTAAAATCAGGAATGCCAATCACCCTCCCCCCCACCCATATCTCTTCCCCTTTCCCCTTCCCCTCCCCTTTCCCCTTCCCCCTTCCTCTATCTCTTCCCCTTCCCCCTCCCCCTTCCCCCTTCCCCTATCTCTTCCCCCTCCCCCTCCCCCTTCCCCTATCTCTTCCCCTCCCCCTTCCCCTTCCCCTTCGTCCTTCCCTCCCCTCCTCTCCCTCTGTCCCTCTGACATCCATTACAAATTATAACGAGTAGTGTAAAGTCTGTTAAAAGGGCCGGAGCATCATACGGGAATGCAAAAATCTACTCCGTGGCACTAAACACGAATTTATCGGGCAGGGGCGATGCCAGGCGGATGGGTTCCTCCCCCTCCCCCCTCCCCTCCCCCCCTCCCCTCCCTCCTTGCTTTCCATGGACCGCCCTGTGTTCCCTCCCTACCCTACTGGCCCTTTCTCCCTCCTCCCTGCTTTCCTCCTCCTCTTCCTCTTCCTCCTTATCTTCCTCTTCCTCCTCTTCCTCTTCCTCCTCTTCCTTTCCTCCTCTTCCTCTTCCTCCCCTTCCTCCTCTTCCTCTTCCTCTTCCTCCCCTTCCTCCTCTTCCTCTTCCTCCCCTTCCTCCTCTTCTTCCTCCTCCTCCTCCTCCTTTTCCTCCTCCTCCTTTTCCTCCGAATGAGGGGGAACAAGGGATGTGGATAAAGCAGAGGGGAAAGGGAAAAGGGGGAAAAGGGAGGGGAGGGAGGATAGAGGGGTTTATGAGAGGACGAATGAGGGGAAATAAGAGAGGTGGATAAAGTAGAGGGGAAAGAGGGAAGGGGAGAAAGGGGGGGAGGGGGAAAGGGGGATGTCTGGTGGTGAAGTAAAGGATGTTTTTTTTTTTTTTTTTTTTTTTTTTATCCCTTTACTCGATGGTTTAATTTTTAGGGTCACGGGATATTTATTTTGTCTATTTAATCCCCTTCATTTATTAATATCCCCGTTCATTCATTTAGCCTTGGCACTTTTAATGCCGGTGCCATGCGCTCGTGAACACACACACACACACACACACACACACACACACACACACACACACACACACACACACACACACACACACACACACACACACACACACACACAGGGAGGGTAAGCGACCTTGTTACCAGAAGCAATTTTTATTTATTTATTTATTATTATTATTATTATTTTTTTTTTTTGGGGGGGGGGTATAGGAGGGAAAAAAGGATATAGGAGGGAAAAAAATATAAGAGAAAATGAAACGAAGATAAACAAAAGGGCAGAAAACAACAATAACAACAACAGTAGTTCAGAGGGCACCAAAGCAGCTTCTGTGTGTGTGTGTGTGTGTGTGTGTGTGTGTGTGTGTGTGTGTGTGTGGAGGGAAGGAGGGAGAGGGAGAGAGGGGGGGAGGAATAGACGTTCGCGGTTTGTTTTGTTTATGTCGTTAGCGTTTATTTACATGTGTTTGGTATTCTCTGAAAGGTTTTTCCATCCCCCCCACCCCCCGCGAGCACAGATGATGCACTGTGAGAAGCACCGAGACGTGTTTATACATCCTGGTTACGTGGTGGTAATTTAGTGCCGATATGTCGCGGCTGGAACGTGAATTTCATTTGATGATGGAAAATTGAGGGAGGGAGGGAGAGAGAGGGAGAGGAAGGAGGGAGGGAGAGAGAGGGAGAGGAAGGAGGGAGGGAGGGAGAGGGAGAGGAAGGAGGGAGGGAGAGGGAGGGAGAGGAAGGAGGGAGGGAGAGAGAGGAGGGAGAGGAAGGAGGGAGGGAGGGAGAGAGAGGGAGAGGAAGGAGGGAGGGAGAGAGAGAGAGGGAAGATACCGAGAAATAGAGATACATCAAAGAGTGAGAGAGAAAAAAAAGAAATTGGAAGACAGCAAGCAAATAGAAGACGACTTATGACCACACACATAAAAAAAAGATAAAGCAAAGACGGAAAAAAGAAAGAGAGAAAAAAAAAACACATATACAATGTGTCTCGTGTTCGCTGCAATCACGCTGTGTTTACCGATAATCATATTTATTACTTATTTCCACTACATGATCAGTGGAAGATGTGAAGAGCAACAGATCAACAGAAGATGGAGAAAAATATGCACACAAGAAAGATGAAGAGAAGAACAGAGCCAACAGAAAGACATTTTGAGAAGACCCAAAGATGATGAAAGACCTTTTAAGGAAAACAGAATAACAGTAAAAAAAAAAAAAGAAAACGCCTTCGTGAACATGAGGCCAAATAAGGGAATAGGGAATGGCAGAGGACGGTAGAGGGAGAGAGAAGAGAAAGGGAAAGGAAAAGAGAGAGGGAGAGGATTAAGGGAAAGTGGGGGGGAGGGAGAGGGGAGGGGGGGACATAATTCTAGGCCAAGAAGACCTTCCAGTGATAATCCGGCTAAATTATGCTCTTATCTTCGGGTCGAAGAGACGATTGCTTGTATTATGGCGGCTGTTGGGGAGGGAGAGAGAGAGAGAGAGAGAGAGAGAGAGAGAGAGAGAGAGAAAGAGAAAGAGAAAGAGAAAGAGAAAGAGAAAGAGAAAGAGAAAGAGAAAGAGAAAGAGAAAGAGAAAGAGAAAGAGAAAGAGAAAGAGAAAGAGAAAAAGAGAGAGAGAGAAAAAAAATTCATACGTGTTTAGGTTGGGTCTTTCTCTGAAAAATGAAAGATAGAAAGAAACAGAAAGAAAGAGAAAGAAGAGAAAGAGATAATGAAATAAAGAAATAGAAATATATATGTATACGTTTGTATCTATACTTGTAAATTCTCTGCCAGTTGCATATTTTGTTGACGTGACGTGGAATCCCGTTGCCTCAGTCTCTTTCCTGTGATTTGTCTTGTACTTATTAATATTCAAATTTATTTACTTGTAAGATGTTATGTCTGTGAATTATTATAAAGTAAAAAATAGTCATTGTATTTTTCTTCACATTTTGCATTTGCCTTTCTATTCAAATAAAATATCCTGACAGTTCATCTCTTGGTTTAAAAAAAAAATGTATATATTTAACGTCAAAAAAAATTGTGACATTGATATTGAGTTTATTAGTCATGAAGATGGATACATTTGGATGAAATGAATCTTTTTAATATATTGCAATATAGTGTTTGTATATGAATCAGCATATTTCCTTTCCAGGTGGTATATCAATATGTACTTTTGACATTTATCATTATATTTGCAACGTGACAATGACCCCCAAAATCTGATGGAAGTTTTAAAGCACTTTTAATGGAATGCAAGTCACTGCCTCTTTGCTTATTTTGTTAAATCTCTTTTTTGTTTTCTTCGATTCAGAATTATGGGTATGATTGATATTCCATTTTGTTTTTGGGTATTATTGCTACGTTTGCCTCTTCCACTCTTCATTATCATTCATGCCTTATTCCCCTGTTTATCCCATTACGTACTCTCCTGCCATCATCTTCCCCTTCCTTTCCCACCCTCTGACGGTTATATGTATTTATATATATTTATTTTTTATACTTTATTACTAGTCCTTTCTTCCCTCACCCCCCCCCCCAAAAAAAAAAAATATATATATATATTATGTTTTATCCTTAGTCGCATTCTTTATCACTCTCTACCACTTATTTCCCCCTTTATTTTGTTAATTTACAACTATTATTATTGTTTATCGAAAACTTTTTCACTCACTCACAACACCTCCCCTCCACTCTCCCCCTCCCTCCCCCCCTATTTATTTACCAACCTCCCTTACATACCCTCCCCACCCCTTCCCCCTTCCCCCCTTCCCCCTCCCCTTCCCCCCCACCCACCCCCCCAAAAAAAAAAGCAAACACAATAACCGAAATAAAAATTTAAAGAGATCCAAAAAAATTGCAACTTAAGTGGTGTTGTCTCTCCCTCATCGTGCAGCTACGTCACGAGAAACCCTTCTACTATTCGCATCCTGAAGTTGACAGCATGGTAAGTCACCACCACCATCACCACCACCATCACCACCACCACCATCATCACCATCATCGTCACTCTCACCATCGTCGTCGCCTTTCAAAGTCTAGTCGCCGTCTCTTAACCCAGGGTGTAGATTCCTTTATTCTCTTGTCCTCTTGTCCTCTTTTCCTCTTGTCCTGGTTTTCTCCTTCTTGGTCTTTCTCTTGTTGTTCTTGTTTATTCTTCTTCTTCTTTCCTCTTCTTCGTTCTCGTCTTCTTTTCTGTGCTCTTAGATCGTTCCTAGTCTTTCTGTCTCTGTTTCTCTGTCTCTCTGTCTGTCTGTCTCTCTCTGTCTCTGTCTCTCTCTCTCTCTCTCTCTCTCTCTCTCTCTCTCTCTCTCTCTCTCTCTCTCTCTCTCTCTCTCTCTCTCTCTCTCTCTCTCTCTCTCTCTCTCTCTCTCTCTCTCTGTCTCTCTGTCTCTCTGTCTCTGTCTCTGTCTCTCTCTCTTTCTCTCTCTCTCTTTCTTTCTTTCTTTCTTTCTTTCTTTCTTTCTTTCTTTCTCCCTCCCTCTCCCTCCTCCCCACTCCCTCCCCCTTCAACTCCCCTTCCCTCCCTCCCTCCCTCATCTTTTTCTCCACTTCTCATTTCTCTCTCTCTCTCTCTCTCTCTCTCTCTCTCTCTCTCTCTCTCTCTCCTCTCTCTCTCTCTCTCTCTCTCTCTCTCTCTCTCTCTCTCTCCCTCCCTCCCTCCCTCCCTCCCTCCCTCCCTCCCTCTCCCTCTCTCTCCTTCTCTCTCTCTTCCCCACCACCCTCACCCCTCTCCCCCCGCCAACCTAACTCCACCACCACACCCAACCCACACCCGCCCATTTCCCCGCCCACTCAACCCGCCCACTTGGGAAACCGAGTGTGCGGGTCCAAGTAGCACTTTCCTTTTCTTCACCAAACGAGTTCAACTTAGTTCCTAATTTTGCTTTTACAGATTAGACAGGAGAAACCCTATTATCAGGCAAATCCAGAGCTTGATAGCTTAGTAAGTAACAGCTGAAAGCTTTTCTCTCTCTCTTGTGTTATTTAATTGTTTGTTTGTTTGTTTTTTTCATTTATTTATATAAATATTTTTTTTTGTCTTTGTGTGTTTATACTTAAAGAGATCTTTGATTAAGATGGATTTTAAGCGATGATATTAATTGATTGATATTTTTTTTTCTTCTTCTTCATAACTTGGATGTTTCAAGTTTGTAGAGATGTATGGATATATATATATATATATATATATATATATATATATATATATATATATATATATATATATATATATTATAATGTTGTAAGTATTTGATTATATGCAAATGTATAATTAGTGTGCATTTTATAAGATTTCATATGTCTGTGACTATGTACAAGATCATAAGATTTATTTAAACTTTATAAAAACTTATTAACATTAAGAAATATGATTTATATTTACAGTAATTAAGTAGATAGATGTTCAATCATGTAACCTAAACTACTTATTAAAGATGATATTTAGATAATATGTAAATAGTGTCTAATTATTGAGAATTTTACCGAAATGAACATGACGGAGAATTCGCCAGTTGATCGTTAATTGTTTTTATTTCATCAGAGTATGCAAATATATATTAATTTGAATATTCAAAAAAAGGTTATAGACACTTTAATTTTGTGTTGATGTTGTTTTCTCTTTTTTTTTCTTCTTCTGGAAGGCAATAGGGAAATGTATTGTTATTCCTGTTGCGGATGTTGACAAGAAAATTTGCATAATCTTTGCATTTTGTATTTCGTCATCTTGTCCAATTTTCAGTGGTGTTTTTTTAATCATTCTTATGAGTATTACGAAAATAGTAATAGTAGTAATAATAACAATAATAATAATTATTATTATTATAATTGTTAATATTATTAATCTCAACGTTCACATTTATAAAATCAGGTAAAGAAAAAAACACGTGTTTTATCTCTCTCTGCTTCGTTTAGTAGCGAAAAATACCTAGTTAGTCTTGCCGAGAGTTAATTAAAGGATAGAGGGATTTAAGGTGAAGGTTATAAGTTAAGCAGAAGGTTACAGGTAATTAATAAGATTAATTGCAAGAAGAGGAATTACAGGTAAAGAAGACAACTGCGGGTAACAGAAAGGTTGTAGGTCTCGGGTGAACGACACGGGGTTCGAGTCCGCGCGTCCCGGCCGTGATAGACAGGGAGCCGTTATCGGGAGGCGGGGAAGGGAAGGGCCAGGGCAGGGGCAGCAGTGCCCGCAGTGCCGCAGCTGTCGGCGGCGGCGGCAGAGTGGACCAGGGCGCGGAGGGCGAGCGCGGCCGCCACCTGTCGCGGCGCCCACGGTCGGGTCGGGCGGCGGTGGGCGGGCGGAGGCGTGAGGCAGGCGTGGGTGCTCTGCGTGCTGCATGGCGCCCTGCCCTCGCCATGCGCCCATGCAAAAGTCGCCACCGTGCGCCGTCGGCGTCCAGGGCGTCCGCTGTAGCGAGGGCGCCGGCCGGTATAGCGGGGCCTGCTCAAGGGGCTGTGATAGAGCGCCATTTTGTTTGATTGGTGCATCGGCCGGGCGGGCGGGCTGGCCGTGGCGGCTCACGGCGGATGCGCCCTGCCTGTTAATATGCAAATGTGTTGCAGAAGCATCATGGAGGCAGCTGGCCGCGGGCGACCGGGCTTCCCGCTCGGGCGGCGGCCGAGGGACGGTGTGCGCCGCACGCCACGGGAGGGCTCGGGGAGCAGCGCCTGCAGGAGGCAGAGCCAGGCCGAAGGGCGGGCGTTCGGCGGCAGGGCGCTGATGTGGGCGGGAGTGCGGCGGAGCCGTTCGGGGAAGCCAGCTGGCGAGGCGGCCCGCGGGCGGCGGCGTCTGGGAGGCAGCGCTCCTCGCTCCGCCGCCGCCGGCTGCTGCGGGAGGAGGGTGCGACGGCGGGGCGCGCGAGGGGCGCAGAGCGGCTTAGGCTTCAAGGGAAGGGAGTTCAGCCTTAAAAGAAAGGGTTTAATTGAGACACCCAGTGGGGTCCATGGCGGTCGAGACAGTACTCGGCCGCGGTCCTCCCCGAGGCCTAGCCTGTAACCTTCAAATCTCGCGCTAAGACGTCGATAAGAAAGAGAGAGAGAGAGAGAGAATAAAACAGCTCTTTTACAAACGTGTCGGACAAACACCACAATTATCCAGGCTCAGATGTGGCCAACAGGCGTATGGCTTGTCGACGCCCGCAGCAGGATAATCCAAAAAGCCGCCGGATTAAAGCCTTGATTCTCTTAATCATTAAAGAAGATAGCATTAGACGAGTATGAAAATTCACTCCTTCGAGGAATGTGAGCGAAGGAGTGTATCCTGTTACTTGTATGAATGACAAACCAAATAGACAGATTTAAAGAATTAAAAACAAAAACAACATCAACAACAACAAGAGAAAAACAAACGCCTACACATAATATTTTTTTTACTTTTTTTTTTCTTTTTTTTTTTACAAATTTGATTTCTACTTTTAGGCCTTTTCTCGATCCAAAATGTTTTGTCTTTGACTAAATCGGTTCTTTTTTTCTTTTAAATCTCTCCCCGCAGATGGTTCAGGCGATCCAGGTGCTTCGGTTTCATCTCTTAGAGTTAGAAAAGGTAAGGTTTCTTTTTGGGTTTCTTTTAGATGTGTCTTTGGCGTTCCCTATTGGATTTTTTTTTGTTTTTTGTCTTTCAATTTTTTTTGTTAATTGTTGTTATCATTAGTAATGGTAGTGGTAATGATGATAATGATTATTATTATTGTTAATATTATTATTATTGATGGTTTATAAGGATAATGATAATAATAGGGATAATGACAATGATAATATTGGTAATGATAGTAATAATAATAGTAATAATAATAATAATTATAATAATAATAATAATAATAATAATAATAATAGTGATAATAATAATAATATTGATATCATTTTCTTTTTTAATTGTTATTATTATTATTACTCTTATTACTGCTATTATTATTATTATTATTATTATTATTATTATTATTATTATAATTAATTTGATTGCATGATGTCAAGAGGACAACTTCCTGGATCTAACTTAATATGTAACAAGACTTTTATTTTTTTTCGGTGTAATATTTTTCTGTTCTTCAAGTCCATATTCAAGAATTTTAAATCTCGGATTTAACGAGTTGGTTTCATGGTTTAAGTCTTTTAAACCTTTTCATGTTTTTCTTTTATTTATTTTTTTTTCTTGTCCTCGGTTATTTCCTTTGCTGGTTTGCTGTCTTTCTATTTCTCTTGCTCTTTCTCTCTCTTCTCTCTTCTATTTTCTTCTCTCTTCTCTTCACTTTTCACTCTTCACTCTCTTCTCTTCTCTCTCTCTCTCCCACCCTCCCTCTTTCTTTCTCCCCTTCTCTCCCTCCCTCTCCTCTTCCTTTCCCTTCCTCCCTCCCTCCAATTCCCTCCTTCCCTCCCTCCCTCCCTCCTTCCCTCCCTCCTTCCCTCCCTCCTCCCTCCCTCCCTCCCTCCCTCCCTCCCTCCCTCCCTCCCTCCCTCCCTCCCTCCATCCCTCCCTCCCTTCCCCCTCCTCTCCTCCCTCCAATTCCCTCCTTCCCTCCCTCCTTCCTCCCTCCCTCCTTCCCTCCCTCCAATTCCCTCCCTCCTTCCCTCCATATTCCTCGAAGATAGAGACATGGTTTCCACGCTCTTTCCTCCCCTCCCAAATCTTGTACCTCTGCCAGCCAACAGCAAGGAAAACAAGTTTTTATTTTCCTCTCTTCCCATCTCCCCCCCCCCCTCGCCCCCCCCCCCCTCTTTGCCAACCCCTCTCTGTACGCTATTTCGCATCATAGAGTTTTAAATGCGCTCCTGAAAGTGTACGATTTTCACTTTTATTTATTTATTTTATTTTATTTATTTTTTTAATCTCTCTCTCTGGAATTTTGGATAATGAGAAATATATTTTAGGAGGATTTTGCTATCAGTATTGTCGATTGCTTTTTTTTTTTGTAACTAGGGGATTCCTGATTATTTCTTCTTGCATTTATTAGTAATATATATATATATATATATTTTCCTGTGATCACCTGCCCTTTTTGGGGGACCGGATTCATGAATTATAAATATCTGTGTATCATTTCCTCTTTATTAACATCAAGACCACATGTCAAAGAGTTTAACGTGGATTATATATTAGATATTGATACGTAGACAGAGTATCCTTTGGACTCGGTTTGTGATTGCAGTTGCGTGTATGCAAATTCAATCTTCGGAGAGAGGGTTTTTTTTTTCCAAGCTATTTTGGCAAAGGCCGTGCACTGCCCCTCTATGTAAATACTTCGCTGCTTCCCCGTGCCATTCAGGGGCGTGTCGAGAAATGGCTTTTGTCACGCCTAAACCTTTTGAAGACGAGATAAAGGATAGATAAGGCGCGGGGAGGAGGAGGAGGAGGAGGAGGAGGAGGAGGAGGAGGAGGAGCAAGACGGGGAGGGGGGAGGAGGAAGAGAAGGGAAGGGGTAAGGAGGGAGACGAGGACGAGGAAGAGGAATAGGAAGAGAACGAGAAGAGGAGAGGAGGAGTAGGAAGAGGAGAAGGAGGAGAAGAAGGAGCGACACGCATCGCTCGCCGCGTGTGTTTTGAGTGGGAGGGCAATCAGCTGAGCTCCGGCGATCAGCTGATCAGCGCCACAAACACGTGTTACGAGAGAAGCGAAAAGTGACGCGGTGCCGGCGGTGTGGCGGTTGTGATGGCTGGGTGTCTGTTTTCTTCTCTCTGCTTCTCTGTCTCCGTTTCTTCTCCTTCCTCTTCTTCGCTTGTCTCCGTTTCTTCTCCTTCCTCTTCTTCTCTTGTCTCCGTTTCTTCTCCTTCCTCTTCTTCGCTTGTCTCCGTTTCTTCTCCTTCCTCTTCTTCGCTTGTCTCCGTTTCTTCTCCTTCCTCTTCTTCGCTTGTCTCCGTTTCTTCTCCGTTTCTTCTCCTTCCTCTTCTTCTCTGTCTACGTTTCTTCTCCTTACTCTTCTTCTCTGTCTACGTTTCTTCTCTTGTCTCCGTTTCTTCTCCTTCCTCTTCTCTGTCTCCGTTTCTTCTCCTTCCTC